TTTAGGCACGTATTTGTACTAGCAGTGGAAGAATATGTTTGCAACAACTGTGATGCCAGCTTTTGTACAATTCCGCAGTAGAAGCTGTTTATATTATCATTCGTTCATGAAGTTCACAGCGCGGCGCGGACCTTCGTATAGATACCATCAGCTAGGTGTGCCATTTTTGAAGGCCACCACTGCAAGCAGAAGGTCATTACATGTTTTCTAAACACGTAGTGGCTATTCTTTTCTTTACCACAGAAGGTTGAAAGAAAAGTGACAAGGCTGGGATTGGGCAATCAGTCTTGAGACTACGACTATTTAAAAAATGAGCTACATGGAATTCGAAAACTTCACTTAGAAAACTGAAATGTTAGTCTCTAAGACAATGAAGAGATGGAAAAACAAGAGGAAGATAAGAAAAAAGGAAATACAAGGAGGAGGAAGAGGAAGGTAAAAGGATGAAGAGTAAGAAAAATGAGGAAGACATAAAAAGAGAATAAAAATATCCGTTTCGAGTCTTCGGGTTGATCCCTTTAGCAAGCAGGGGCGATATTTATTGCTCTGATGAAAATGAGCTTCGAAATGAACGGCTACCTCTGAAAACCTACCAGGCAACTAGGAATCAACAGACCCGCCGTGCAAGCTATCAAATCCAAAAAAGGTAAGTTCCGTGTGGCATGTTGCAGCGTTCATTCATTCTTTGGCGAAGGCAAGTTGGATGATCCATGTACCACTCCCCGTCATTACAAACTTGACATCCTGGAGAACACAGAAACTCGAATCACCTGAAAAAGGAATGCATGAACTACAGGATGCGTAGTTATTTGGTGATTAGGCGACAGCAGAATACGCAATGCCGTAGTGAGTATTCTCTTGCCTTCAAAGAAAAACCTGCGGTTATTTACGTGAAACAGCTATCGAAGAGGATCATGGTCTGTCGTGTGAATGTCATTGTGGCCAATACTTCGACAATGTACCAATTTACACCAAAAAACAAGCTACTTGCAGTCACCTATTAGTGTACCATATAATCATAACATCAAGATTGTCCCAGGCGAAAGTGGACATATAGCTAAGCGTACTCAGCCGTCACGACACTGACAGCTTAAATTACAATGACAACCGTATGTTAATTTTTTGTCACAGACACCTTAACTGTCTGTGAGTCCATTTTAGTTATAAGCGTATTCACCAAACTACCTGGATGTCTCCCAATGAAAGTCTAAGCACCAAGCTGGGCAACGTCATGATCAACCTTAAATGGCGTAGTTTTTTTCTTGAGACTCCTGTCAGAAGCGAGCACCTGCACTGGGTCTTATAATCATATGGTCGTAGGGAAACTGTGTAAAACATTAGCAGTCGCATCGATGTCGTCTAACTGAAACACACCACCTGATCGATGTTGACGGGCAAAAATATTAAGAAGCGAAGTCAGTCAGTCTTCCCAAAGAAGGGAGAATTATTTTAATATCATCCTCAGCGTCCAGCCTGGAACGGGCAACGTCGATAAAGCCTACAAAGACTTCGAACAAGCTGTCATTTCGTCAGCGAAAAACCATGTTGGGGGTTAAAGGAGAAAAGCCAAACTACTCTAAACTACAGAAAAAACCCATCCCTTAGAATGCAAAAGAATTATGCAAATAAGGAGTACTTGCGTCATCATACTGCACTTTCGAAAACAGTTCATCGCCATCTCGTTCGTGCACTCAACCGGAGCTACAGTTGGAAGAGGGTATTTCGCTGGAGGAGAAATCAGAAAAACTGACAAGGCAGCCAGAAAGGGTGGGTGGCGAACACTGCTCATATGGGTGCAACAGTTGTTCAGTAAACAAGAGACTCGGTCTGCACTTTCTCAAGAAAATAAGGGTGTTCCTACTGGCAGGTCAAAAGGAACACTTCACTTCACTGAGCATTTCCGACACCAGCTCAATGGCTACCCTCCAGATTCGTTATTTCCGTTCGCTCGGCACAGATACATTCACAAAACTAGAAATCCAAATAGCCATGCTACCCCCTACGGGGTGGATAGATTTTCTCCTGAATTAATCTATGAAAGGAAGGGAACGAGAAAAACAGGAAAGTTCGTGCACCACTTTATGAAATGTGGACCGATCATCATCTGGCCAAAACAAAAAGCGTTTAATAGTTGAGACTACAGTACGCATCACAAACCACAGACGTTATGTTTATTTAAACGGCTCAAGGTGATGATTTAAACAAACAGAAACACAAAAATATACTGCGTTTTTGTAACTTAATAAGTTTGCAATAACAAAAATACAATACAATAAAATTTGACCTACTGTTTCTGCGCTTCCAGGTATTGCCTACGTTTTTCTTCCTGACTGATGGACGATCTGGAAAGACGTTTATAAAGTTTTGAGTGATGGATGCGAGTTGATAAGTTTTTAACAGGCACTAACGTCGGGTGTGACTGGACACTAGCTTCCGCCACGGCGTCAACTAAATGCAGATGAAAATGACAGTGGTCTACGACCAACTCTAAATCCTGTTCCTCACCTTCCATGCAAGCTGCACTGGTTTCAGCCATATGAACGCCGTCGGACGTCATAGAGTACCAAAAAGTGATTTTACTCCTATAATTAATATGCATTTGATGGCAACATGTCACATATTCAAATTCAGTAGTCAAAAATCAACTGAAAAACAAAATGCAAATAAGAGCATCTTGAAGACTTGCCACAAATTCATCGCATCGCCTGAAAACGCTGGCGGATATGACAAATGTTTCCAACTTCTACGCAATGACTGCTCAAGAACTATCATAGAGAGGAGACACTGTAGATGTCTCAATTGCTACAATAACGTTCCGAGACATAAGAGGCATGGAAGCCTACGTTGCAGTGATATTTCCACGATGATAAAAATATGCAAGCTAGGATGCAATTAAAGACCGAGATCTCCAGCGACTGAGGATCAGGTCCGGAGTCACCTGTTCCAGCCTTGAGGAAACTATTTGCAGAGGAGGCACCAAAGCTAATTTTCAACAGTCAGAGTTCAGAATCCACAATTTGAAAAACATGTATAAAAGATCGCTAGTTGTAAAAAAAAGACTTTGACGCATTAGTTTGCCACCGCCAATTGACGCTGAAGTGACTAACTAGAGATTTCTGATCAGAGCAGTGCCTATGATACCAGTCTTTCAGTCATCAGTGATTATCCCATAAACCTATCTGAAGCCATCTTAAAATGGAATTAGTAAGGCAACGGCAAAAATTTGTTTTAAAAAAGGGACAATCAGACCGTATGTTCCAACAAAAAGACTAGCGATCAAGCATTTACTGATTCCTTGCAGTCGGTCCTGAATCTCATGCAGATGGTCCTGACGACGAGACGAATGAAGGAAAATTTGAATGCTGCTAGAATGGCGGTCCTCTTTTCACTTCTTTCTTAATGATGGGAAAAATTCCAGTACCCTTGTTTTTATGCACTTAATGAATGCGGCGTTCATATCCATTTTCAAGTCATCAGCCAGAAGTGTGTTGTTTTAAAATGCAGAATCGACAGCAGCTATGTAACAAGCACAGTCTGTACTCTCCTGCTTCTTTCACACTTCTGCATCAACCTCAAAAGGAAGTGACCAGTGTTCCCGACCGGGATCGAACCCTAGTCCTGCAGATTCTGTCGGACACTCTACCGACCCAGTATCCCAGGGATGAACCAACGTATGGAAAACTGCTTGCTCAAGGGAATTCGTGATAAAGGCAAAGACTGTCCCCTGAACGAATTCGAACGGAAGGTAATTCCTTCGAAATGCAAAACCAACCTCAGACATTTTGCCACCTCGCCACGGTAAATATATAAAATTTACCATAAAAACGACACAGGTATCCGGATTTAAAACTTGTAGCATATTGACTTGAACCATGAATCAAGGTATAATTGTTGTTCGGGTAGGTAAAGAATCTAATTTGCTACACTCAGTTCAAAATTCTGTTTTATGAAGCTCTGCTCTCAAACTGAAAGTCTATAAATCGAACTGATGCGATTTAAATGTGACGAATTGTTCGGTTAAAACGGAACACCGTGTTGGATTATGGAACCTCTACTCCGCGTCCCCAAACTTCCAACACTTTTTCTATTGATCGGTTTCAGTATTAGTCTATTAATTAGTCGTTTCGTATTACACATAATACCCTGTTTCCATTTACAACCGCGGAAAGAATCATATCAACTCCGTCATTGCATGAACACTTTTCTAAATTGTTGTCACTCGGTACTACTGAATTCAAAGCCTCCCTATGATGACTTCCGGGAACACTGAAACTCACCCTTCATTCTCACCCGTTTCATAATTTTCACCTTACATTCCGGCACAAGATTATGCAGTTGCCCTCACCACTTTTCCCCATCGCTTGGCGAATCTGCTTAAACACCCGGAAGAAACGACATCTTCATACCACAATGGTGTTCATATCGATGTCCTGAGGTTGCCTGACAGTACTTTCCGCAGATTTCACAGCTTTACCGCATGACGTACTCAAAACCCAGCTAAAGCCTATCGATACATAAGCCACCGCAGT